CCCCCCCCCCCTCCCCCCCCCCCTCCCCCCAACCACTAACATCTTTCTGGTCTTTCTGGAATATAGAGCAACAACAGTAATAGACATTAACTGTAATCCCCGAGCCGGCGGCGCGAAGCCCCGTGCGAGGGTACTAATTCCCCCCGGCTATTTACTCCCGGGGAAACGAAAGCATTAGCGGAGTCTAAAGTTCATCAAATATCGCGGGCGTGGGTGACCAACCGTGGGTGGTCATCCTCACTGATCTCAAATATATGACGGACTGTCATGAATAGCGGACACTAATTGGTCCAATTTAAAATTTGCATTATAAGGATTATAACGACTGCAGACGACAGCGAAATAGCAAACATTTCTTGATTTGATGATTGATGAATTTTTTGTTCGCATTTTTGCAAGATTTTGTAAATTTCAAAAGTTTTCTCATAAAGAAAGGGCGAAAGAATCGGCTAAAGGAAGGGAGCCGACGTTAACGAAGGTAAGTTTGTTTTAAATATTGATTTTATAATGAATTTCAAACCCGACGGCCTTTGCGTATATGAAACAACTAAACAAGACAGCATATAATTTCAGTGTATCTTTAATATTGATTCCCTTTTTTATTATATTGAATTTTTTAAATAAAAAATAAAGCAAAGTTATTTGCAAGCGAGAATTTGAAATCATTTTATTGCAAACTCAAAGTTTATCGATAAAGCCATTTAATTATAAAAGGCTGTTTAGTTTTATAAAGAACACTTTAAAACGTTTTGCGAAGCGTTTGTGGTTGAATTTTATCTTAAATTGAAGCCTATATTACGTATAATAACATACCTAACATATATATGTTGGGAAATTGATAAATTTGTAATTAAAAATATAGAGAAATTTAACTTACTTAATTAGAGGCCTCAGTTCGATCGAGTTTCACATCGTGGGCATATAAGATCCCTTCCATTCTTCCACTTGGTAGTAATTGGTTCGACTGTAAATTATATGTTCTCCGAGGGATTTCTTTCGAGGGATTTCTCTTCGCATTTGCATATAGTGTTTGCATATCCAAATTGATCAAATATCCTTGCCGCCATGTCTTGAATCGAATGCCTCGTTACGTCACAGTAGATTTGATTTTGCAATTTGCATCAGTGCACTGATGCGAGCGCCCGCAATCTGCATGCGATGCATCGCTCAGCGGCCAAATCTAACGTGACGTAGGGCTCTAAAACAAGAGATTTGATGATGTCACGTTAGATTTCACGCGGAAAAGGACTCGGGACCGATGCATTCACTGATGCAAAATGGATGCCAATCGAATCTAACGTGACGTAGGTGATGCATTTTGCTTCAACTGTGACGTCAGGATGCAGTAAAAAAATAACATATTTTGTCGCGAAAATATTGACGCTTAAGTGTCGCAAAACAACAGAAAGTACACATTTGCGATCACAAGTTGCAACGTCGTATGTTGGACTTATTTTGACAATTTCGACTGTTATTGAGACTATTTAAATTGGATTTCATCCTAAATAGTGTATTCCTGACATGGAGTCAATTTTAAGCAAAGATTTGCGGGTTGATAGGAGATATTTTATTACTGTGTGCTTTGACTATTGGCGAATTATATATCTATATATTTCAAGCAACATGAATCATGATTTCTCAATTTTGACCGATGCATTCGCATCGCTGGCATCGGTCTGGATCCGCCCCTGATGTAAGGCCTCAGAGGTTCGTCAACATATGAGGACAAATATAAACAACATGGGAAAGTGTTGCAAAGTACAGAAAAGCAAACAAGAACAAGAACTTATCTGAGGACTATGTTTTGAGGCCAGTTTTAAACTTAACTTTAAATGTCAATTATGGTTATTACCTATGGTTTAGCCCATTAAGCGCCAGCGCTCTGACGAGTAAAATCGTCTGGCGTTAGACAGAGTAAACTATAGTAAAATAATAAAGTAGGGCGCATCAGGGCGCAATGTGATTCAATGGGTTAACTAGACACATATATAGGAATATAGGCTAGTTAACCCATTCGGAGCCAGCATTTCCCCTTGACATTCAGATACAATTGTCTGGAGTTAGACAGAGTAAAATAGTCTGGCATTAGACAAAGTAAAATAGTTAGACAGAGTAAAATAATAAAGTAGGACGCATCATATGGCATTGCATTGAGGTAGAACGATTAATTTGGCATAATAGGTGAAAACTATAATTGATTTGTAATGTTTGGTATAACCAATTTCTCATATTAATTTTTATATTTGCAATATTAATTAGTATTTATTAGTATTTATATCTATTTTTTGCATTAAAAAATTAAGAGTGATGAACAACATTGTCTGTCATTTACTATTATTTCATCTAGATTCTAGAATTTCTGCAGGAATACCAAAAATCTTATAGGAAATTAGAATAAATTATTTTCTTATAGGAAATTCCTATAATAATTTGGGACTAGACTTGAGAATTCTTATAGGAATTCTTCCTATTAAATTCTTATTGGAATTCCTGTAGGAATTTTTCCTATAGGAATTCCTATAGGAATTCCTATAGGAAAAATTCCTATAGGAATTTTGTCCCAAATTCTTATAGGAATTTTTCCTATAGGAATTCCTATAGGAAATTTTCGTAAGGGTACAAACTATATTGAAATAATGCAAGTAAAAAATAGTGACAACTTGTAAGCCATACATTTTCCGATAACGACAAAATGTGGATGCAAAACAATACCAATAATTACAATAACCACCACGGTGATTACTTTTTAACGATGAGTTTAAGGATTAACACTAAAAATGCAAAATATGCATGGTGTGCTGTGAAGCGTCATAAGTCTTAGTCTATTAACTGTGAACTGTTTAAGCCCTTTCGATACATGTAATTGTAAATTTGTATTCTTACAGGGCTTGAATTAACGTTCCCAAAGTTCTCGATCATGACTTTCCCTGATTTTTTCAGGTTAGAAACCGAAACTCTGCTTTTCCGCCGATCATAAGCAATTCCATGCCGATCATTGATCGGTGTTATTTCAAGCTCTGTCTTAACAATTTTGAATTGATACTGATTTCAAATGACTAAAGCCATGTAATAATTATCCCATGCAACTGTTAGGAAGGGCGAAATTTTGAACGGAGGACAAAAATCCTAAAGAAAAAGTGAAGTTTCTAAAGGGGGGCGAATTTCCTAAAGGGGGGCGAATTTCCTAGGATTTTCGCCCCCCCCCCAGGGGGGGCGATATTCCCAGGAATTTCGCCCCTGGGGGGTGAAATTGTAGGGGGGCGAAAATCCTGGGACACCGGCTTAAAATTTCAATTTGCTGCGACAATATTTGAATTAAAACGATGATATAATTTTATAAATACATTAGTTTGATAGAAAGGCTTACATTTGACTCAGCTTTTATATCAAATTATGTTTATTGTAATGCCAAATAGTATATTTTTCCCTTTGTGTATTAGTGTATATGGCAGATTGAGATTGCCAGATTCCGGTGTTTCTTGTATAAAACAATATAGCTTGGCATCTACTCAATTCTCAATGCCTACCCAGGCATGTCCCAGCTAAACATGGTTTGAGAGAATTTATCGACTAGTACTTGTTTCAAATCAACTGGTACTTTCATAAGTTTCTAATATTTATTCATATATAGGTGGGTCAGTTTAGAATAGATAAAAATATCAATTTGATGTGTTGTGTCATGTGCGGCAACTTGATTAATATAGACATGTCCCCTAACTGGAAACAGATAAAGTCCTTATAGTTTACTTGTTTAAACTTATGAATACATTTAGTTACACCACCTGCATGATCTGCTTAATAATATATGTAACAACCTTTGGGCTACAGTCTATATATTTTAGAGACACCCCGGCAAGAGTTTGATTGTTTTTGGAATTACCCATTTCACTCCAATGAGCCCAATTTTCAGCACTTTGTTATTAAATGTGATCTTGCCTAATGCCGGACAATTTTATTTGTCAAGGGAAGTGTCCAGTTAGAGTGCTAGACTGCCCATGACATGTTTCATGTTGACATATTTACTGTAGATCAATTAGATGCAATTTTCCTAACACTTCCTACTTAAGTACTTTGATATTATTATTTAACTCTGACATCTCATGGTAGACAATTTTACTTATTGACTGTGGCATGCTCCCCCATATCTCACCTATTAACACCTATAAAGGAGCAATTTCCTCTTACTTACTTGAAGTTCTTTGTTGGGTGTGCAGGATAGAATGTTTTTGCTATCCAGCTGCATACAGGATATATGTTGGATAGTTGAAAAATATCCAGCTAGATTCAGGGTATTATTGAAATATATAAATGTTTTTTCTAACCTGTAAAGAAGGCCTGAGGCCAACTGCTGCCGAGCTTCACCCCATTCTTGATGTTACATCATGTTCTTGCTTTTTTTCTGCCCAGTCCCCAGCCAAGTCGCTGTATGTATATACTTAACTCTTTGGCTACTATAAAGACTGCTAACTACAAGCTATACACTGCAAAAATTAAAATTCTTAGTAATCAAAAAATTACTTGAATTGAGAAATCAAGTAAATTTTTACCAAATAAGAATGTTTATTTACTTAAAACAAGACCAAATTTACTTATCAAGAAAAGTACTTGGTCCAATGATTACTTAAAATAAGAAATCGAGTAATTGTTTTCTTTATAAGAATATTAATAACCTTAAAACAAGAAAACGTTTACTCATTAAGAAAAGCACATGGTTAAATATTTACTTGAAATAAGAAATCGAGTTTTTTCTCTCTTAATAAGGATATTAATTTACTTAAAACAAGAACAACTTTACTCATTGAGAAAAGTACTAGGTTAAATGATTACTTGAAATAAAAAATCGAGTAATTTTTTCTTAATAAGAATATCAATAATCTCAAAACAAGAACAAATTTACTTATCAAGAAAAGTACTTGGTAAGACGATTACTTGAAATAAGAAATTGAGTATTTTTGTCTCAATACAAAAATATTAATTTACTTAAAACAAGAACAAATATTCTTCATGAGAAAAGTTCTTGTTTAAATTACCATAACTTCATCTAAGAAATCATATATTCATGAAGCAAATATTTAATTTAAATCAATGCTGCATGTAAAATATATTGCTAGCTATATGCAGTAAAAAATCGCAACGTTAAAAGCTAGATCAAAATTCTCTGTTTTATATCTATAGCTATTATGCTATATCATCTACATGCACGTAACTCAAACAAGCCTTGAAATATAGCATTAATTATGTAAAGGGTTGGTGCCCTTTAGATACTCGTGCATAATGTCATACTTAACAGCAACGTAACTCCTACCAAAATGGTCCTGTTTAACATGAAAAACATTGTGGTCTACAAGACCATCCGAACCAACAAAGTGCAAAGCATCGGGAACAATCTTTCGCACTTGATATGCCTGATGTACATGATCTAGTCTATCGGTTTCTAGTAAGAATATTTCAAAATAAATGTAGGAACCGACAATCCAAATCTTGTGTATTTCTCCAAATATTGGAAGAGGAGGGTGACCACTCGCACCAACAGCAAGGACAGCTGACTTCGTGTAGGTGGTTCCATGCAGTATCACAGAAGTTGCCTTGTGAGCGCTTTGTAAGAGAAATCCTGGCAACAACCCAAATTCTTTAAATTTTTGCTGCAAGTAAACAAGCTTCTCTCCGCTTACTTCTTCGAGTCCAAGAAATTGTTTTTCAGTAGCAAAAAATGGATGGAAACTTGGACACTCATTGGCATCATCAAAATTACAGCACTCTAAAAACTGGTGTCTTTTGGCTAATGATAAGGGCAGGTTCTTGAAGCTTTGGTTTTTGGTCAATTCTTTAAAATATCTGTGCGCCGATTCGAAGGTGAAGCATGATGAGCGGATCATTGGACCAAGAGACCTTATCATTGAAGGAATGTGAATCTGATAATGTTGTTTTGGGATGACGTTCTTTCCTGGGAATAACTCTTTGAAATTCTGGAGATGGTCCAATATGAGCTGCTGTAAACGTTGTAGAGTTTCTTCATTAATAACTGGTGAAAACACAATCTAAAGAAAAGAAAAGAAAAGGTACTTACTATAAGATTACACTGACACAGCTAACCCTTCAGATAATGAGGATGCTAGTGCCATAACGTGCATGCATGAATATAGTATTGTGGTAACCTGTGTGATTTGAATTATCTCCACTAGGAAAGAATAATATTCACTGCTAGTATCTATGAGTGGACCAAGGATGAAAGACAAGATGCGCAGGAGTAATCTTGTCTGGGAGGCATTGTATTTCAGCTTGTAGGATTCTCCCTGGAAAACAGATTCCCTAAGTGGACCAGGCTTATCACGATTCTCACTATAGCCATAATTGTGGTTAATTATTGCACTGTTGATCTGCTGTATTGTTGTCTCCCCTGTCTGCATGAAATAATAAAGAACCAACCTGTAACAATATTATAAATGCACAATAATTATTAAGAATTACATATAGTCATATACTAGGATAAAATAATAGATTTTTCAGATGAACAACATTATTTTCTCTTACACTTGCCATCCTACAGAATTTTAGATATGCGTTACTGCATTGATGTAACGTTACTTAACAATTCAACCTGTAATAATGCAAAGCTGACTTCAGCTTCTTCTCTCCCTGCTACATGTATGCTGTAATCTCTCTGTATACCCTGAATTCAGGCCTTTTTCAGTTTCGACTATTTCGACTTCCTTATGTTTGCCTTTCGACCTTTTTGGGGAGGGGGCTTATTCCCTGGGAGAGGGGCTTATTCCCTGGGGGCTCATTAGAGAGGGGGTATTTGAAGGGGTCTTAATATAAATATTAATTGTAATAATTTCAAGTTTGACAAACCTCAATTCATATTGGACAGTTCCTTCCAATAACGTATGCATGATGTCCTGAGGTAGTTGTTTTGTGACATCAAAGTCAGGTAAATTGCATAAAGAGCTTCTTTTGTTTATACCATATGTTGTGCATAAGTCACTGCGTACTGCATCAGTTGGGGCCTCCTCTATATCAGTACACTCTCTATCATAGTTCGCCTGGGTGCGTAGTGTAAAGGCTTGTTCCAAAAACTCCTGTTGCATCTTCTCAAATGTACAGTAACAAGTCCTGCATTTCTAAAAATAAAGAAGCTATAGTATACAAGCTATAGTATAGAAGCTATAGTTACAAGTTCTAAAAACAACCACGAAGATTCAGACTGTTAATAAAATACATCACCTGAAATATATGCATATATACCTATGAAATGTCAAACTAAACAAAGATACTCTTTGGAATTATTAGTCTAGTACATGTTAACAAACCTAACTTCCCAATGTCTCTTGGTTACACATTAGCCAAATTATACCAAATTATTCAATGGCATATTTTTAATGAACCATACATAATTATACAGTTATTAAAATCGTTCCGTCCTTCAACTACTATGTTATGGAATAGTATTGACTATATTTATCGCAATTTGTAATCGATTAGTATAATTAAGAATTCATTGAATTTATTTCTTGATATTCAAACTTATACTATAGCTATTATGATTTTTCAGTTGACAGATCTTCGTCAATTTTACACACTCGTCTCCGCTTAAATTGTAATGGTTTAAATTATTATTTGTTTAAAATTAATTGTAGTCCATCTCCAGGATGTTCATGTGGCTTTTATTATGAAACAGTAATTCATTGTCTCCTCTATTGCCCCCGGTATGCTGTTCCTAGATCGTTCTTACTCTCGGCTGCTGCTCAAGTTTATGGCGATGGCTGGTATCTCTTGCCGGATTCAAAAAATTTGAACTTACTTTTATTTGGTTCAGCTGATTTGAGTACAGACAATAATCAATGTCTATTTAAGCATGTCCAAAAATATATTCGGGAAACTAATCGTTTTCCAAAGAATTAATATTTTCTGGTTGGATCCTTGCATTGAACCAGCTTTGATCATTCTTTTTTGTTATATGGTATTGTTTACTTTTATTATATATTGTCTTCTCCTGTTGTGTAATGTTTTAATTGCATTGTCAAATGTGTAGCGTGAACCATTCGATAAGCGTTTATGCTTTTGGGTTAACGCTAAGAATATATATACGTTTAAATAAAAAAAAATTATACAGTATACTGTAACAATTAAATCAAAGAGAGCGAAGAACACAAGAGTCATTACAATTGCACACACCAGTTAATACTCACTTGGCAGGCAACTCCAACTCCTTCCTTGTAAGCACCCCACAAGTGAAGCCCCAATGTATCTCCAGTGCAAGACAATACAAGACAATACTTGTCTTTCGACTCCATTGATCTCCATTGGTACACCACCATGTAGGATATTGATATCCTCAATAATTCATGATGCTTTGAATGCCATATTTTTTTACCAAATTGGCATTAGCAATTGCCAAAAGTCTGACTGCAGCTACCTTTGATCGAAATTTTGGACCAAAATTAGCGACTGTGTAGTAAAACATGTCCACTTTATGAGTTCCAGCTTTACTACCAAGTGGATTGCATACCTCCAACTCGTCGTGGTAGAGTATCAACACCAATGCATCTGGAAGCTCTTTAAAATACTCATCATTACGATAAATGGATCCATCACAGATGTCATACATAACCCCTGCTTCACACAGCTTTGGCTTCCTTAGGATAATTGCAGCTATTCTCTTGTTACTCAACAATTGATTAAGACTTTCTAAAATGGGTATGTAGATGAATGTTTCATCCTTTTCACTAATTATCAGTTTTTGCCCTTTCTTCTTTCTCACTAACTTTTTTCCAAGGGATACTTCTTTGTATTGAACATAGTTAAATGTCTTTTTGATGTATGATGAACATAATGCTTCAGTTTCAATCCCTGAGAAAGGATCCGGAACTTGGTCAAATGCCTGTTCAAGTATAGCTTGATGTTGTGGTTCACAAGGCCCAATAGCTGTAATTAGTTGTTGCTTTACAGATTTCAATACCTGGTTTACCAAACAGGAAGTACTCTCCATGATTGTATTCATTGCAGTCTAAATATAATGTACAATGTAGTTAGGCATAAAATAAGAACATGATTTTTCTGCCTTTAGTACTATTATATTGTTAGCCACCAGAGTGCTTTACTTTGGCTATTCCAGATGATTTTACAGGGAAGAAGCCTAGAACAGCCATCCTGTGTTTAGAAAGATTACACCAATTTATTCGACTTGTTGACTCTGGGAAACAGTAAGTACTGGTATTAGGAGATTTTACAAACCTGTGGCAGTTTATTCCTCTCTTTAACTTTAAGCATAAATGATGCTGCACTTCTTTGTATATCCACTGAGTCAATCTGTCAAAAAATTTGTCAATTTTTGTCAATACGACTCAATATAAACTACATCAAGCAGGGGCGTAGCTAAGGGGGGGGGGGGTGCGGGGGGTGCCGCACGCCCCCAATGCCGTGTCCGTCGGCACAATAAATCAGTTGTCGGCAAAATAAATTGGATCAAGCCAATAGGCAATACCTGATTGGAGAGAGATTGCAGATTGGAGAGAGATTGCAGAAAATTTGTAGAAAATGCGAGATCGAAAAGATGGATATGTCGACTGAAAGCTCGGCCCGAACATTCGGCTAAATTGGCCAAGAACTTATTACGCTAATACGCTATTTAATAGTATTATATTTTCTTGCAATTTTGTGAAGTATACCATATAGCTAGGAAATTCGAAGCACATGTGCGTGTTGACTGTTGATGCGTCTGCGCTTCTGATTTCATAATCTTGTAAAGCCAGTAAAGGTCTTAGAAATTACACCTAACGGTCTTTTATACAATGAAAAATACGGAGATGATTTAAAAGTATCGACAGTAGCAAGCAAAAACGCAAACGGAAGAGAGAGAAACTGACGTGTTTAGTTTGCAATCGGTCGTTTGATGACGAATGGATGTGCTTTTTCGATTTTTTTTCGGAACTATTTCGCCCATTTTAAAAATAAATTAAAATAAATTATCTTACTACTCGGAGTTAATCATTGTAGATCACTTAAAAATGAATACGGTTCGCTTTGCTAGCCGCTCGCTAGCCACGCCCTTTTGTCAGCAAAAAGTTGTTTTGCACCCCCCGAAAAGAATAGTCTTCGCTCCGCCCCTGACATCAAGCCTGTACTACATAATTACAATCCTCTCATTCTCTGATGATGTTGAGTGACTATAAACGTGCTACTACATGATATAAATTATTTACCTGGTCTTCATGATCAGTAGCCATGCCCTCTCCCTGATCACTGTCGCTTTCTTCATCAGAACTGGTAAGATTTACATCACTGTCAAATCCATTGACCCCATTTCGATGTTGATGGATTTCTTCATGTCTGTTTGCTGTGTTATTTCCTCGAGGAACGTCGTAGGTGTCACGATGTTGTCTAGTAACATGCTTGTATAACGAATTGTATTTCGTGAATATTGCTGGACATTGATTCACGCCACAGACGACACGAAAGTTCGTCTCGTTGCTATGAACAGTGAAGTAATGATTGAGTAATCCTCTCAAGGTTAATGACTGGAAAACATTACACCATCTAAAAAAATTGACGCCATCCATTTCGCGAAAAGTGTTTAAAATATCAGTAATACTAGAAATAAACGATTCATTTTAATGGCATGGAAGGCTGTAAATTATGACACATGACTATAAAATTTTTTACAGCTGTGTGAGTGTCCAGTCGGTCCAGATATTTTCAGCGGTTATTACCAAACGTTGTGCTTAATTTTACTTAAAGTCAGAATAAATTTTTACCAAATGTGCAATTAAAAATCTCCTCACCCATGCTTGTTGTTCAAATTTTAAAAAAAACGAAACATTAGGCATTACAACCCATTATGTTTTTGGGTTTTAATGGTTTACAATTTGCAATAATTTATTGGTTACAACTTACAAGTTAATACAACATTCGGAACCGGGGAATGGAAAGTGGAGAAAATTTAACAGAATGGATGGAAACACAATTTTTTTCCATGTTTTTTTTCTGGTCCCTTGGGCACCACTGGGGATGAATGAGGAAAATAAGGGTCATTCTGAAATGAGAGCGCAACGCACTGTGGGATTTTTTGTTTTGTCTCGTGGTCATTGGTCGTTGGATACCAGATTCTGTGCTATAGCTATTAAACACTATTTTAAAACAGTTTTGAAAATTTGAATAAAGGGAAATCCAAGGAAAATTTTATTGCCAAAATGACTTCCTTGCTTGAGAATATTCGTCGTATCGCTGGACAACAAGCAGCAAAAGTATTCGAAGGTAAGAAATTGTCCTTTTCTTGTGAATTTATTCCGTATAATTTTCGTCTGAAGTTGAGCAACCAGAAGCTTTACTGTATATTACATATTTATAAAATCATCATGACTGCTCATTATATAATAATATTTATGCATAAATGCTATTAAATAGATTCAGTCGGGATTCTGTTCTTCTCAATATTTCACAGATGCTGAAATTTGCATTGACAAAGATCTATCACAATTGTGCTACGAAAGTATAAAGGAACTCTTTCCTGAAGAAGGGGCAAAAACGTTGCTGTTAAGATCCAAAATTTGGAAAATCATATCATCTCCTCTGTCAGTTGTAAGTAGTATTAAATGGTTGTATTATCAATTCTAATAATTGATATGGCACTGACACACTGTGAATATTTCAGACCAACAAAATATTGCAAAAAAATCATAATTTTAACCGAGTGGGTTGTCTGTACTGGCGGGCAAAAGCGAATGCGAGTTACTCCGACGCCAAGTACAGCCTGCAGAAAACCTCACATACTTTAGTGGATGCCAGCTTAAAGCCTGCCCAATCTCGCAAGCCAGACTCTTTATCTGTGCTTGGGCCACAGAAAAGACCCTGGTTAATTCATTCTGGTCATGTGGCATGAAAGTCTGACATCTTGAAATGTCTTGCCAGAAAATCAGTTGTTACATACAGTTTGCTATTTGAAGCTCCCTGAACGACCGATTCAGTTTATAAAGATGAATCAGTCGTATAAACGGAATCGGTCATTCAAGGAGCCTCCAAGAGCAAACTGTATGTAACAACTGATTTTCTGGCAAGACATTTCAAGATATCAGACTTTCGGAATCGTATCTTTAAATATAGCAACTGACAAAGGTAGTAATTATAGATTATTACTAGTTTTATAATATTGTCTATTTTATACTGTAAAATACTGTTAATATACTCTGTTTTGTATTGCACTCACTCCTTGATTAAAGAGCATTCTTCTCTTGACTCTTCTGAAATATATAACCATATTACTAACTGTAATGAATTCAATTTTGTATATTTCAAGGTTAATACATCGTACACCCATATTGTTTAATAATTTACGTTCAATATCACCACCTTTGTAGGCCACCAAATCGGCACTGCTAGTAAATTCCTTTGTTAAAAATAACATCGTCTCTTCCAGTGTATAAAAATCACTTGTCAGTCTTTCACGCACAATTCGTAACCCGTGTATATTCCGAATTTGATAAGCAATAGTATAACTTTTTTCATTAAAAAGTAGAAATGGTAAATAAACTTGAAACGAAGCACACTCGTGAGTTTGTACTCGATAAACCGAAACTGCACGAAAAAATACCTTTTTAGAATTTGAATACGCTTCACAATCTATTACATGTGTAATTCTAGACGCTATTTCTTTTTTGTTCTCATTGATTTTTCTCACATCGGTCTCGGATAATTGATTATGTCTCCGCTGAAATAAACCCTCCATTCTTATACAACAGCTACCCACAAATAGTTTTTTTTGAAAGTAAACTTTTTATTTTATAGACAATTAACTTTTATCTATTCATTTTACATATCTAATAATACATGTTCAATATGTAATCGTGAGAAATGAAGACATAACTTTTTACAGCTACAACCATGTTGTCTTGTTAACCACGTAGAACATTTACACTGTTCATCGAGCAATACCATATTTTTACACATTCGTGTCACCATTCTATAAAGCATACATATAAAATCATGTGACACTATTACAACCAATGATCATCACAACGATAATAATCACGAATCAAAACTTCTTTCCAAAGTCTAGGGGTTTGCAACCATACAAAAACTTGTTGAGCGAATACAGAACCCATAAAATTGAGTTGTACGGTTGTTTCAATACTAGAAATGATAAAGCCGAGATTTTGCACGACTCCGACATCTCACACCCATATCGTTCCTCATACGTCTTAATTTTAGTTGACATCGCTGAAACTACCGCGTTTCGTACAGGTGTTTTGAGACGTTTTATTTTCATATTGCTGCTAGCCCTTTTAACTCTTCTACAAATCGTGTAAAAACTTTCACCTCATGTTTTGAACAATGAAATGTGTTTGCCATATGATACGGGCAACATTCTTGAACATAACCATATTTGGTCAATAACTCATTATACTTTGGGCATGCAATACTCGAACTAACACCTAATGACGAAGTTAATAAACATTAAATGTTCAGTAACAGATTTAATATTTACTAACACTAAGATAATACATAAATCCAATCACTGGTCGTTGATACTTTATCAAGAGTCTATTGCTATTAATAGAATGAAACCGTCCCTAAACCATGGAACTAAAGCCTCTAAAGATCTATTAATATTTAACTAATCGCGTATCTTGTTACTTCACTATATATACTTGTACATATGTAATATCATCATTCATTTCCTGATGATGACTATAGTTTAGTCGAAACGTCGAAATAAATTTTTCAAAATGCTTTCAATTTTCGGAGTATCTATTGTTTTGTATTTTATCAAAATACCCAGTGGTTCCCGTAATATAATATTATGTTTAGGTTAAAGTTGGTTGGATGTACTGTGTTACCCTATATACATAGAATAGAAACAGATATATGGAAAGATCTTATGTCGATTTGGAAGCTTAATTTAAACAACCATGTAACTTTGATCATTGATGAGCTAATTGCTATATACAGTAGCATCACATGCAAGCATGACCTATTAGTGAAGCGTTACATGCTTGTGTTTTTTATCGCGTCATCGAACCCACATGCAGAGTTCTTATAGCAGAATCGCCATCATATTTTTCTAAGCAATATAGCATAATGTGCATTGACTATATACGTTTCGTACTGTCTGAGAAATAAAAACAAAACGCGGCGCTTCAAGTAGCGATCTTTCGCCAGGCACGATACATCAATAGCGTGCAAAAAACTTGCATGATACTGTCGTCAGTGTCGGTGTCGAGTTTTTTAAATCTTCTTTTGTTTATACCGGGTGTCCCAAAAAAATGTCCCCTGTCATATTTGGTTGTAATACTTCGTTATATTTAATCAAAGGTTCAATTTTTCTGCAGTGGGTTGAAAAACAATCAGTCATATTATATTAATCGTAGTATTTATCTCACTAAAATACTGAACCGTTCGGCTTCTAGAGATACTTAAGGTGGCGACACCAATTTTGCAACCCGTCCAAATTACAGAAATTAGGTTAAAAATAATGCAAACTTTGTAGAAGGATTTCTATAAGTTTCTACCCACCTTTCTGCTCAAAAACAAAATGTTTTTTTATCTCTATTATTACACTTTTGTTTCTTGTAGAAATTATTAAAAAAAAAGGTGAAATATCCCTCGCAAATTGACAAAGGCAAAGCTAAGGTTGGGAAAATGCCTTAAATTTGCTGTTTTCCGTTCAATTTGTTCGATAAAAGAGCAAATGTTGGGATTTCAGCAATAGTCTTTCCCCTTTTCTGGGGATTGCTTCATTATTTTTACAGAAAATTAATTCGCGATTCTGGCTGCAACTAATTACAAGTTTTAGAAAAGATATGTAGCCTTTACCATTAAAATATTTCATTACGTTTCGTAATATGTTTAAACCTAATATTCACAATTTGGACAAGTGACAATATTGGTGTCCTCATCTTAAGTAACTCTAGAAGGCAAACGGTTAAATAATTTGGTGCAAAAAAATGCAACGATTAACGTAATATGTTCATTGATAAAAAAACATTTAAAAAATAGAATATTCGATTACAGGTAACAATGTAGTACCACAAAATATGATAGCTAGGGGACATTTTTTGGGGGACACCCTGTACGCAATGTAATATGTTTATAATTTCCGATTGCGATATAATCAGTCGATCACTATATGTTTTAATTTAAAAATCCCTCATTTGCTTTAACTAAATAGTGCAATTTGAAATTAAACAACAATTGAAATTTTAATTATGCTGCAACATGTAACATGAGCTCAGACTCTTTTAAAGAGAAAACTATTCAACATAAACAAAGTCATGACTCGGTGCAGATCCTTAGGTAACTTCCGAGGTATTTTTAAAAAGTAACTATATAACTTATGTAGAACAACTGAATCCCAAATGATTCGAAAATCAATCATCTCGTTTCATGATTTTGTGATTTATAGTAACAGTATATAATCTTGCTAAAAGTGCAATGGATTTTCTCCAACAACATGCTCCCTTATGATTTCCGTCAAGTCATATTTAAGTGGAATATAAACTGATTCAGAGTGTCGCTGTAAGGAGTAAACACTGAAATCCAACATACGGTTGTAGAAACAGAGCTCTGAAAGTGCATCATCTCCAAGATCGTAAACTTCATATGTCATCAAGTTAGGATCGAATTTGACCGTTGTCAGTGGCGTGAATTCAAATAAGATTTCTTTATCCACCAACCAAATCTGCTGAAGTTTTCCAAAAGTGGGCACTTTGTCCACAAAAGTGGCATCATCAACTGCAATTACGCAACTGTTGTTTGTTGCATATTTCGTTCCATACAGTTTAATCCATTTAGCAGTAAAAACGTTGTTTATCATTTCTGGTTTCGCAAATAACTTTGCATCTTCAATCTTTCTAAGGATGGCAGCTCTTGATTGGTTAATAACTGGCCTTGTTGGTCCAAGTTCTTTGTCCGTAGAGAACAGCGGGTGCTCGCAAGGATTTTCAGTGTGAAAGTCGGCACAAGCATCGAGCTGACATTTTTCTGCCAACGAGAAGCAGATATTCTTAAAGTTTTGTTGTGGAGCTAATTCCTTACAATATCGATGTTTTGCTTCAAACCGCATGCAACAGTGTCTAATAAGTGGACCAAGCGCAGCCATTTGAGTTGGGATGTGAAGCATATAATGCATTTTAGGGGTTATGTTGACTTGCGGAAATAGCTCTTTAAATAGGAGATGTGTCTCAATGGAATTCTGTAATTCATCGATTGTTTCTCTGCTTGTAACAGGCGAGAAGCACATTTGAACTATTGCAATAATCTGCAACAGAAGTTGGTAAAACTGATCTTCAGAGGACACATACCCTTTTAGGCAGAACGGCAAGTATCTCAGAAAAATGCTTGCTTGTTCCGCTGTTAGTTTCAACTTGTATTTCTCATTGCTGTTAAAAACAGTTTCTCTCAAAGGAGGAGGCCGATTTCTTTCTTCTAGGTATCCATAACCTGAGTATCAGGCTCTATTTTACAAATAGAGCCTGACACAAAACTTAACCTGATCGCTTTCCGCCCACAGCAAAGTTTATATTTAGTATCCAATCAAAATGTCGCAAGAGAAATTTAAATTTCACACAACGACAACAACAATCTAATTATAGCATAGGCAGCCCACTAAACGGCTGAATTTAAATTAAAACTGCAATGAACTTATAAAATTAACAAAAATAATCACAAATGCAGCGAAATATATTGCAAATGTAGCTTATATTAAATCGCCACCCGATTGCTCTCTCCTCCGCAGAGGTTTCAGTGACTACAATGAGCTTTACATGGCGCTTGCCGTATTTATCAACAAACTGACGTATAATTATAAAGTATACTTTATAACTACACGTCAGTCGATAGTACAATCTGATGGCGATTTAATATAAGCTACATTTGCAATATATTTCGCTAATTTGCGATTATTTTCTAATTTTACTGCAGTTTTAATTTAAATTCAGCCGTTTCGTGGGCCGGCTATAATTGTAGTTGTGAATTGTGATCGTTATAAAATATATCAACAACAATAGTATAATCTAATTAGCACCAGCCAATCAAATGATAGATTTAAAAATCGTTTGTCTAATCGGCCAATCAGCGCTCAGTCCAGATTCTGGACTGAACAACCAGGCAAAATGCCACTTTTGTGTCAGGCCGTACTTTTCTCCCCTTCGCCCACGATCAGGCGTGCCTGTGCCCTAAAAAGTACGGCCTGATACTCAGGTTAAGGTATCCAAGGCTCGTCTGACTAAACGTGCTATTCAGCTGCTTCAGTGTAAAATACCTATTTTCAATAAAATGCTGTAGTATGTAGCGTACTTCAAATTGAACAACTCCTTCAAGAAGAATGTGCATTATGTCCTGTGGGAGCTGCTTTGTTAGATCGAATGCTGGCAACTTGGTCAACAGGCTTCTTTCTGTAATCCCATAGGTAGTTTACAAGTCTTTCATAATTTCATCATTTGGTCCTCTTTCAATATCGTCGCACTGCCGATGGTATTGCTCCACACTCCTTTGTGTAAACTGGCTATCCCTGAAGTTTTGTTGCATGTTAACAAAGGTGCATAAACAATTTCGGCACTTCTGATGAGCCCAACCAACTTTCACTTTGAAGCAGCCCCACTGATGTTGCCCTTCTGTATCACCCAAACAACTTACAACAGCTCCAAATAACTCAATCGGCGTTCCGTTTATGATGAATGTGTATCCATTTGCTAGTCTTTGAAGATCATTTAAAATAGGAGTAAGGATTTTCTTTTGACCATATTTAGACACATCTTTTGCCTTTACAATAGCGAGCAGTCGAATTGCACGAAGTTTCGATCGATGTTTTGGACTGATGTTGCCGAGAGTATAATAATACAAGTCAATTTTATGTTTACCAACGTGACTTCCCAATGGGTTACAGATTTCCACTTCGTCATGATAAAGTACTATTTGTAGTGCATTTGGATGCTCCTGAAAGATGGGATTGTTTTTAAAACACTGACCATCACAGATATCATACAGGATCCCTTCTCTGCAATACGATGGATGACTGGTTATGATATCTGCTATACTTGAATTAGAAAAAAAGTTGTTGAATACTGTCTAGTATAGGAATATAAATTAAAGTATCATCCTTCTCACATAGTTGACGTTTTGGGCCCTTGTTTTTGTATGCAGCCCTGGTGGCAAGTACATACTGAAGTGGTTGGACAAAATTAGGGTTATTTTCAATGACTGATGATTGCCTGTAACTTGTTTTTAGATTTATCAATGGGTCTTCAAAGTTATCAAAAATTTGTTCTACAGATTCTGTGGTGAAATCTTCATCGCTTTCATTTATATAGCTAATCACTTTCTGCTTTAAATGTTCTTTCACTTGATTTATTAAAATACTGGTACCTTCCACGATGTTATTGACGGCAACCTTTTAAGAGAGAATAACAAATGTTGTCATAAGAACTAAGATGCAGGAGTTGATAACTTTTTTTGCATGCCTGCATTCATAAAAACATTTAATATCATGACATGATCCGGGACCATGCATGGACCAATTGTTGGATATGGAAGAACAAGGAAGGTGTGAGGTCAGATGTAAAGTTGTGAGCCTTGTAGCAAGGTTTGAATTAGTGGCGGTGCCAGGGTACCGCACACCCCCAATTTAATTATCATTTGGGTGCAATGATTTAATCAAGTTTCTTTAAGTTCAGGACTAGGAAAACTTACCTTTGGTATCTTTGAATGTGCTTGAAGTTTAATAAGAAACTGAGCCGTACACTTTTCCATGTCCACATTTTCAACTGAATCATCTCGCCCTTGTTCAACTTCGGGCTAAAATATCATGACAATTAACACAGAAACTTAATTACAATCAGTACAGTGCTATTCAACTTTCAAAATGTGAGAAATTTAAAAAATACTGCTTTTTATTAATTTATATATGCAGCAGAAAATTTCATCTCCTCAGGGACAGGGGCACCAGACACTGGGAGTGGTGGGATGGGGAGCAGGGCAAAATATTAAAGGTTCCTAACTGAAGGAGGCCAACAAATCAAGATGAACACAAATACTGCCATGGATCCTAAGTTATCTTGCTAAGTACATGTATTTCCACATTTGGCAATTTTTCTCGAGAAATGTCCAGTTTGGAGTGCCTCAATTTTTTAGCTGCCGTGTGTAAAATTTAGAAGCTTGGTAGCAAATTTAATTTTTGAATTTTCGAGCCAACCCTTGCTCGCATTTTTCCTGATGGTTAATTGGGGTTGGTAGGGAGAAAGAGGGTTTCTCAAGGATTAAAATGATATCAATATTGCCATGGTTACAGGCAATGTTTTTTGAACTGGAATGCTTCTTGCTCGAGGCATTTCGCGCAATGGCGTCTTTTTGTTCCACGACCAAGTTGTCAAAATGTGACAACTTCGGCTTGTATAGGTTCCTTCGTTTAGGCTTCTTTTCATATAATTTTTCGTTTTTATAGAAGTCAAGACAAGTGTTTTGTATGTGTTTTGTTTTTCAAATAATGTGATATAAAACCTCAAATTGTGCCTTTTACAAAGGCGAAAAATTGGGAGATTCGATATTTACAAGTAAATGGGGAAGGAACGGTTCGGGATGTTGGCAGACTAAATACAGCTCACAAAGATTAACAATCAGACATAAAAGTAGGAAAATTAATAATTTTGTATTTTTTGTGGTCACATTCCTGATTTGTTGTCTTTCCACTGATTCAAATTTAATATAGCGTAATATATCATCCCATTCATCATAAAAATGCAACAAACTTGATGTTGTACACTGTTGAGAATTACATGTTAAGAATGTCTAGTTTTACGGTGTATATCATAAAATTCTTCTGCTTTATTGTTTGAAAATCAAAATGCTTGCTTCGGGCCCGGCTTTTCTCGAGAAAAATACCAAGCGTGTTCGGGGAAGGGGTGAGCATATATTACACGGAATGTCTGTTTGGAAGCTGTCTAGATAATACCCCTTATTTTAGCTTAATATCCACAATAGTCTTAGTACATTTCTCTAACTTGAAAACATCTTTTTCTTCAGTTTTAATTTTGGCGGGACAATTAGTTATTAGTCTATAATTATGATGATCAAGCTTCGATAGGTTTCTAATTAATTCCTAATACATACCTCGCTTCCGCTAATATAAACGAACGAGGCACCAGAGTACAGTCAGTACAAGTTGTTGATGCGCAGCACAGCCTCATAGCCAGTAAAATAGATTTAAAAATGTTGGAAGCGAAACCAGGATTCATAATTAATTGTGTAAACGTTCTCTGGTTAAAAAAGATTTATTTATTAACAAGCTTTCGACTGCCAGTCTGCAGTCTTCGACGGGTAGATTTATAATGTGCTAGTGATATAAGATATGATACAGAGTGAATAGTGCTATACAAGAGCGGTTTACAATTACATTTACTGACAAAAGACAATTACTGACAGTTCCGCCTGCGTAAATATATTGTGTGGAATTTAAAGTTTTTTGAGCAAAAAGCGATATTGTTCTGGCAAATGTTTTGAGTTGTTATCAGCGTCTTTCATGCATGCAGTGTGCCAAGACTCTAACGTCGATCTGTGTCGATAGCTTCCCTTGTCAATTATTTTTCCGTTCTTAAAATCAATTCTGTGGTCGTTTGCCCACGCATGATTCGTGATATTAGAGCCACTCTTGCATTTTTTCACGTTTCGTTCGTGCTCTTTATAACAAGAAAAAAAGAGTTTCGTGCTCTTTATAACAAGAAAAAGAGTTTTTATCGTGTTTCCTTTATAACAAGAAAAAAAGAGCACGAACGAAACGTGAAAAAATGCAAGAGTGGCTCTAATATCGCGAATCATGCGTGGGCAAACGACCACAGAATTGATTTTAAGAACGGAAAAATAATTGACAAGGGAAGCTATCGACACAGATCAACGTTAGAGTCTTGGCACACTGCATGCATGAAAGACGCTGATAACAACTCAAAACATTTGCCAGAACAATATCGCTTTTTGCTCAAAAAACTTTAAATCCTACACAATATATTTACGTAGGCGGAACTGTCAGTAATTGTCTTTTGTCAGTAAATGTAATTGTAAACCGCTCTTGTATAGCACTATTCACTCTGTATCATATCTTATATCACTAGCACATTATAAATCTACCCGTCGAAGACTGCAGACTGGCAGTCGAAAGCTTGTTAATAAATAAATCTTTTTTAACCAGAGAACGTTTACACAATTAAGTAAAATAGATCCTGATACTCAGGTTACATACCCAGGTGCTTTGGAGGAAAAGAAAAATATTATGCTAAACTATTATATAGAGATCAGTGGCTATAAGCTGGAAGCACTGGTATTTACGTCCGTGCAAACTCGCGATTTGACGTAAAGCCTTCGCAAGAGACTCGTATTACCATCGCGAATTCGCGATCTCGCACACGTGACACAGGGCAAAAGATCAAGCGTGCAGCAGTTGGAACTGATTTTTGTGGTTGAAAATTTTAAAATTTTTAATCCATTTGCATCCGAAAATAAACCTTTGTTCAACAGTGCATTTATTGGGAAGCAGGTAAGCACAATAAATAGGAAAAACAGTTGATGTAATTTGTGTCGGAATCAAACAATGCAATTGCTTTGTTCAACGACAAAATTACAATAATATGAATATTGAAAAGGACCACGCCAGCATGATTTTTATTGATTTTTATTAAATATTGAATTGTTTCTATTGCCAAACACGCTTCGCTGGAATAACCTTATTTAAAAGGAAGATATGGATAAAATCAGGGACCTTGATAAAGAAGCATTTGAACCAATGCAAGGTACAGTGTTTACTTGTTGAAAAATTATGAAATTATTCCTTATACAGTGTAGTTATATAAGACTTTAAAGGACATGTCAAGTTGGTTTTTTTCGGTTGAATATTGGTATGTAATTGTTTATATAGGGTGTATAAAAAAAGTAGACTCTTTCAAATTCAAATTACCCATCTTCTGTTGTATTTTTTGACAACTTTAATCCCGCCGGTCTGAAGATTACGTATTTTGTCCCATGAGTAGAAGAAGCCTTGTGTTTTTATACATCCGTATTAGTTCGAAGCAATCAGAGCATTGTCTATTTTTTTTATACACCGTGTATATCACTCACTTAATTTCAACTTCGCTGTGGTTAATTTTGTCATGTTATGCACATGTCATCGGCCATCCCCGGAAGGGGGACCCCAGGCTAAGGCGGGGACTTTGCCTTCACAGCCATAAAACTGTGCAAATTTCCCCACCCTGTGGGGCAAGAATACCTGTCAATTTCCCACTTTTCCCCTGCCCTCAGGGGCTTGTAAAGATGAGTACTTATTTATAATGATTTATTAGTTGTGAGCAATTTCTGGACATAAACTGTGAAGTCATGTCAAAACGTTGCATCTTTTTCAATGGAAATTACTTTTCTCCTCTCACCACGCTCAACAAGGACCTTGAAATATTAAGAACAGTATATAAATATATTAAAACTACATTAAAAAAATATCAGTACAAACTATGAAATTTTGTTTCAAAAAATATTGTATTCTCGAGCATGTTCAATTCAAATAACTCGAAGAGTACACTAAACAAGTCATAAATAACATTGGATTACAAAAATGGTGACCTGATGGCCATTTTCAAATGTATAATTCATTTAGATTGAGTCTGATTGACATACTTTATAAATTCCTTTTCTGTGATGCCCCAATCTCGAAACCAGAGCCCGCAATCCTCTGTGGAGGCTTGCTGAGGCTCTGGGAAACACCGGCGACTTTTGCACGAAAATCAGTACATTTGGATCCAGTACTCCGCTCGACATTTATAAATAGACATTACTGCCGTCAAACATAAATTATGTCGTTGTTTAAAGCTGGGTTACAGTCGATTCTGCGCATGTGTGGGCTTTGTTTACATCTTTTTTTTTGGTTTGGATCCACTACAATTGTATTATATGAAGTATACGGCTATGTACTAAACAAATTATAAATGAAGGAACAAGGAGTGAAGTTAATTTTTTTTTTAATTGTCTTCTGAAAGACAAGCAATTAAATATTTTAACAGACCACCAATGAAAGATATATTGTTGATTAATTCGGAATTTTTCTTTCGTGTGCTTCGTTTAATAATGAAATATCCGGAAGAGGCCGACACGGCAAAGCCAAAGGTGCGAGTTCGCAAGTCATTGTACGTATTCTGAATATAATGTTCGGCATTGTAAAATAAACTTTGGAAGTGCCAAACTAATCATGAACCTTTCCTTGGGTTATTGGTTCGTCGAAAAGCACTATCAGAGTCATTGTTGCTGACATGGGAGAAGCACTCGGAGAAATTAAGCTTTTCGCTGGAAGATATATGTGGAGACGATATGTTGATGTCGTGGCTTCTGTTTTTCGATAGAGGGCCTGCAAAAGTATGGGTAGTTTTTGCTAAAGCGCATGCCACGAATAGGATTTTGATACATGTATGAACAATTGAAGGGTTCAAGAACGTGACAGTGACCAGACGGTAAGTTTGTACAGTATTATTGCTATTAGTTTGTACTGACACTGTTCGCTATAAACGTGATTCGATTCACACATGTACATGTAATCTTCGCTCATTGTAGTTTATAGAATATCATGTAATGTTGTTCATTGTGACTGTTCTCTCAAAACGAAGGATAATGATCATCTAACAATAGATGAATAAACTTTGTTTACATAGTTTAATACTTTGCCTGCCAAGAATATGCACAGACATACAGTGTACATTTGAGTGACAGTACATTTTCTGAAAGGT